CAACTACGATTCAGAAACCAAAACAGCCGATTCAGAAACTACGATTCAGAAACCAAAATGGCCGATTCAGCAACTACGATTCAGAAACCAAAACAGTCCGATTCAGAATCCAAATGGTCCGATTCAGGAACTAAATGAGCCGATTCAGAAACCAAACGGGCCGATTCAGAAACCAAGCGAGTCCCGATTCAGAAACCAAAACAGTCCGATTCAGAAACCAAACGGGCCGATTCAGAAACCAAGCGAGTCCCGATTCAGAAACCAAAACAGCCGATTCAGAAACCAAAACAGCCGATTCAGAAACCAAGTCGGCCGATTCAGAAACCAAACCAGGCGATTCAGCAACTACGATTCAGAAACCAAAAGAGCCGATTCAGCAACCAAAAGCGCCGATTCAGAAACCAAAACAGCCGAATCAGAAACCAAAACAGTCGATTCAGAAACCAAGTTAGACGGTTCAGAAACTAAGCCAAGATAATAGCGCTCCATGTGGATGCAAAGGGCTTTTACATTCATTCAAGTAAGAATTAGTGGCGGACGGCAGGAGGAGTGTGGGGTGCGGGGGGTGGGGGGGAATCATTGCCAAGATAATACCGTTTCTCCTGTTGCTTCGCGGAAAGATTTTGCATCGGTGGCACTACCACCACCACCACCACCACCACCTGCTACTACTGCTACTACTACTACCACCACTCCACTACTACTACTACCACCACCACTACTACTACTGCTACTACTACCCGGGTCATCGGTCTCTTTTTTTGGAAATGTTTTTGGTTTTGGTTTCCTGGTTTTGGTTACCGAATCAGCGCTTTTGGTTACCGAATCAGTGGTTTTGGTTGCCGAATCAGACGTTTTGGTTACCAAATCAGATGTTTTGGTTACCGAATCAGCGCTTTTGGTTACCGAATCATAGTTACCGAATCAGACTGTTTGGTTACCGAATCAGACGTCGACCGCTTAGTAATGTCTTTCTTTCAGGGTGTCCAACTTATGATCGTTTGTAGTTTTTTGTACAGTACAATAAACAATACAATTGCCACCAGCTGATGCTGCTTATGATACGGTAACAAACTTTACAACTGCGATCAGCTGATGCATATGATGCCGTCATGAACGACAATGATAGACACAGCCTGTTGAGAGGAGGCGTTTGGCGTTTGTTTGCCCTTCATGGACTTTGTCATGCACATGGTATGATGATGAGAAATATATATACTCAGACACACGTGATATGTGAAACCATGTGTTTTTCCAATTTTTTCTCCCATGCCCGCTCCTTTCCCAAACGCACCGCATGACGCAATATATGCATTATCGTTTCCAAACGAAATGCACCCCTTAGCAAGCATGCGCCACTGATAGTGTAACGCCCCTCAGCACCATCGGTGCGGGCGGATTTTCAATGTTTGTTCGAGTCATTGTCATATCATGTCACATCCCATACATCCCCAACATGCTCATTTGTTTCTGATCGTTTTTGCATGTCGTTTTTGGTCGAGCCCTTTGCTTTGCGAGGATGACCAGCGACGCAACTCAGGAGACGAAACTGATGAGCTGTCGGTCGCCCGATCGAATCCGGTCCTTCTCCGACCGGGGTGAGGAACAAACTGTAGTTGCAGCTGCAGCAAGACAGATTGGTTCGATGTTGTGTTTTGGTTCGAGGATGTGAGAAAGGTCTTTTCGGCGACTTCACAAAAGGTGATGGCCATCTCAATGATGGTCAATCAATGATCTCAAATATCTCATGACTGCCTCACTTTGCTGGAGATCCTTTAAGAAAAAATAGAAAAGAGGACAAAAAGGCATGAATTGTTTGACCTAGACCTAGACCAAACAAGAACATGTCTCACCCCGTATTCTCACGTTCTTATGGTCCTCTTCACCATCTATTTTTGTTGGCCGAAGGATGCTGCCAGCCTTTCGAAGTGGCTGGAGCCTTAGTACCGCGCAGTCACCGAAGACGTGCTGTACGGCCGAAATTGAGAGGAAAACAAACTTGAGCACAAACCCACCCACCTTCCCAAGCTTCTTCGACCTTTTTAGGATCTCCATCGACCTTTTACACGAGAGATGCCTTACGATCGAAAATCCGGGAAACCGTTATTGTCATGCAGTATCCTAAAGACTTTCAGACACACTACATACATAGCTTCATGATCGCACTCCTTGCTTCTGTACGCACATTTGTTTTCAAGTGCCAAACTCCCGACCCGTATGGGATGTGGGGTATTTGACAAATTGCATCAAATTGCTTGCACAGTCATCTCCGTGACATTGCATTTGTTATGCTAAGCCGAGCAGATAGGAGCGGCATGGTCATATAAAACCGCAACCGAGACTCGGCAAGAAGTGATAGAAGCTCTGCTTAGCAGACGAGATGAGTCATGACGAGTCGAGGCCTATGCGTGTTTTGCTGCCAAAGCATGCAGCAGAGCACTTGGCTCGAGGCAGTCGATGGACCAAACGCGGCCATGCACGCGGCCATTCACGTGGCCGTATTCGGTGTTCAATGTTGTACAACTTCCACGGAGATTGACATTGAAACACCATGAAGCGGGGGAAGTTACATGAAGCTACATTGGACATGTGAAGAATCGCGATGCTGAAGCGATGCTGAAGGTGTTCTACCACAACTTGCTTCTAGATTTGGACTGTACATAGAGGCCGGCTTTGGGGGTCATAAGAGCAGACATGCACCATACACTCAATCATATTGTAATATACTATACTAGGGTAGGGATAGGAGTTGTGGATCAGAGTGTCCTAACTCACAAAAACTCAGTATATACAGTATATAGAAGATTATAGAAGTAATGGAGAAAGTGTGGGGCTTCTGGACAAATGACACTCTGTAACACCAGGCTTGGAGCACCTATATAAATTGCAAGTGTTTTTTAGAGCTCTTGGTCCAAGCTATGCTCCTCCCTCGTGCTCAGATGGACAGTGCAGCGGACACACACTTCGCAGAGGCAGGATGCGACTTGCTTTGTCAGCGTTCAACAGTAGCAGAGCATTCACTCAGAGCCTTTGACAGTCACTGTCTCTACACCTTTCGAGGGTGAAACACAAGACACAAGAGACCGCACGAATCCAGCATGTTTGCCATTGGCCATTGAATCGAGGCATTGGTCAATGTACCTTAAAGGACACCCACTGAACGGCTGAGACACAGAGCTCAAGATCAGCTGACCTGGTGGCAAAATGGGTTTGCCATTCTGTCGGAAATTGTCGGAAGGCTAACAGCGGTCTGTTGCGCTTTGACTGTCCAACAGAGTGTTTTAGCTGACCGCTCACCCTGCATTTGCGCGATCCGCATTGACACAGCCATGGCGCGAGCATGTGGGCAAGGCTCCACGACATTGAGCGGATCACAAATGGCTTGGTCAACGCAGCAGACTTACAGAGGAGACAAACATGCCTATGTGAGTGGCCCATTTCCAAAGCTTCACGGTAATACCATGTAATACCAATATATACCAATGTAGCCCTTTGTTTTGTCGTCATGGTAAGAACCACTCCTGGCTTGCTGCAATAACTTGAGGAACCTTGATTGAGTTTAGTCTCAAAGTCAGACGCACATACGCACACTTTTAGTTGGAGCAGATTCTGCAGGTTTCAAAGGTTCCTGCCCCAAAGTCACCAGCAACTGAATTGGCAGGAGGCCTTTTGGCCGAAGCAGCCGCATCAGCGCCTTGGCAGCAACTGCTCGTACCAGCTCCTGGTTAAAGACATACCGGAAGAGTTTGGTCCTGCTTTGGTCCCAAACTCTGGAGCGACGACCATTGAAGTAGAGATAGTAGAGTAAATAGGAAGACCTGGCTTTTGGTTGTAAAATGCAAGGCGAACAGAAAGGTGAACACATGCCTGTCGTGACCACCAACTACCATCCTGCCGCAGATCAGAGTAGGAGTTCAGAATCCAACAAAAGATTCAACATCGGGTTGGGTCCGCATGGTTGCACCAGGCTGGGTCTCCTTGGTTGTGTGTTGATGCCAGTTGGAGACCATTGTAAGAGATTCGTGCTGAGCAAGCATTCATCAGAGCTTGGTCGACTCAAGCCGGTGAATGTCTCAGGTGTCATTTGCCCAACTACGGAAGAGCGGGTTTTGTATCACCCACAGCTTTACAACTGCTTCGCTGCTCAAAGTTGGCAGGACAAGGAGTGAAGCCAGGCACTGGGTCCTTTTCATTCGAAGAGAAAGGGTCATCAGTCATCGCTGCGATGACTCCGGAAGACAAGGCATGAGTGTTGGGTTTTTCACTGAGAAGCATGAGTGTCGAGGCTGAGAAAAAGAGTTGACTCTCACATCAAATGTCCAGGAGCTTGTTGTTGTTGACACCGGTTGCAGAGCATCCCCATTCCTGCGCAGCTGGGCTTCACAAGATGGACATGAGGGAGAGGGAGAGAACAGGGGGGAGACAGATGTGTGGTGCCCACTGCAGGCTGGGATTCATTCAGCTGCGCAGTGAGGTAACAAGATGCTGGAAGATCAACGGTTAGTATATGTACATTTCAAAGTCGCAGCCACTGAGTATCTTGGCTGGCACTGACAGAGTGGAAATCTAACTGTGATAAACCTGTTAAGATGTGCTCGACGTTGCTAGACGTTAGCACGACGTTAGCACGACGAAGCTTGGTGGATGAGGTGGCCAGTTGGCCTAAAGCGGAATATCGCCATCATTTTGGCAACAGGACTGGGGACGTTTCCTCCGGTCTTCCTGTGAAAGTCCGAACGGCATGAAGCGTTCTGAAGTCTTCCGGTCCGTCCTTCCACATCCAGAAAAGGTGTTTATTGACCAAAGGGATTTTCGAGAAAAGGTGTCACTTCCGAGGATATGTCGAGCAAAAGCAGGTGATGCTGAGTGTTTTTGAGCCTTGGACCATCGGACGCAGGCTGAGCCTGCATCGGATGAAGAAAACAACGCATGAGTGGCAGCAGCTTTCAGAAACTATCGGGATGGTTTTGGGCTCAAGCCTTTTGTTCTGTTTCGACCTCATGGCTGGTGTGGCCCCTCCCAGCGGTGGGGGTGGCGGCGGTGCGGCTTCAGCCGTGGGCAGTGCTGCCCTGCATGGTGCACAGCGTGGGGCAGCCATAGCACAGAAGGGAGTTGTTAGCCTCACCATTTATGTCCAGAGGCCGATGATTGCATCTTTCAAAGACATGCTTTGTTTTGAATCCAAGCACAAACATACTCATGTGCAATCATGTGCATGTTGAGCAGGGAATATCCCAAACCCGCCTCTCGAGGAATCCACTCGCTGTCAGCGCTCTATGCTGCTTGGTTGGTTTGGCCCTCTCCGTGATCAGTGTGCTTAGCATTGTGGGCGTGGCACGAATGGGTGATGGAGAAAATTGGAGTCCAAGAGATTCGCTGCAAATGCTCTTCGGAGTCGACCAAAAAAGACCAACCGGAAACTTTTTTTTGTTGTTCGCTGTCAGCGGAGGGCCCGGAGGGACCTTGGGTCGGACCTTGGCCATCCGGGTGACCCGTCCTTGGTTTGGGTTTATGAACTTTAATGACCTCATAAGCCGCACAGCTCAGGTTTTACCAATGTATTTTTGGCTTTGTCCTAGTGCTGATCGATGTGAGAGAACAGTGGGGAAATGCCTTCTTTGGCTTGCAGACCAAGCTCTTCACATACTGCAATTTCCTTGCGAGTCAGACGGGTCGTGCATGCTTCTATTTCTATGTGGGGTCAATCTCCCTCTTCCTCTTGCCCAGCTCGGACCTGTGGAAGATTGTGTACTTTGTCCTTGGAGGTTGGCTTTGTCTTTTAGGCCTCGTGATGCTTGGTCTTCGCTGGTGCTCCTGCTGCTGTGGAAACGAAGCTCGCGATGTCCCAGTCGGGGGTCCTGTTGGTGCTACACATACGAGTAGCTGAAGGGCTGAAGGTGATTGCACAGAGCTGGAAAGCCAAGAGAGCTTAGGTCCACTAAGTCAAGAGGGATCAAGAGAGAGGGAGCAAAGTCTCGTGCTGAGCCTTACTGCAGCAGGTACTGAATGGTGCTGCAGGTCAAGACCTTGATTCGATTTGTAGATGCAAGTCACACCAGCAGGAAGCCGTCTGTTTTGAGCAGTGTGCAGTGCGGCTCTCTTGATCATCATTGATGGTATGTTCCACGCCCTTGGAAACCACAGGGGGGGATGACTGTCTCACTGTGAGCGAGCGCCGAGCACCCAAAAAGGAAGAGCTCTAGGAGGCTTTCAGCATTTGGTGTTGCCATTGTGCACTTTTCAGGAGCCTTCATAGCTCACTTTGACGACGACGACCTCTACTCACCGCAGTATTTGGATGTCATGCTGCAAGGCAGGGGCTGCGGCTGATTTACATGTGCTCTTGACGAGGGGATGTCCAGCCCATGCACAGCCACTTCCATTTTCCTGAATGGGTAGCAGGAGGCTCACAAGGACCACAAGAACATACAAGAACAAAGGATTTGTACCAGATTTTGATCCGAACTGACTTTGCCCTTGGTCTTCTTGTATCTTCTTGCCGCCTTCTTCGAGGGCGAAGGTCACCACCGGCGCAAGCTTTTCGTGGCGAATGTCACCACCTGCGCTTTGAGTGTCGTTTCACTGGCTGAAACCCGGTCTGCTGAAACGCCAGGCCTTCAGGATGCCCAAGGCATCACTCTGGCAAGTTGGTTTGTCTGGGAGACGTGGCGGACCCCGGAGCCACCGGACAAACTGGGCGGAGGGAGCGAGCAAAGATGAATCCCTTTCGGAAAACAAAGAGGAATGCCACGGAGAATTCGATGCCAAATCAATGCTCCTCTTGAGATGTGAGATAATACTGCCAATCCCCATGTGCTTCGACATGTACTGTACAGCACAAAAGCTTCCATTCATTTTGATCAAATAGGGTTGAAGAGTTGAAAGATGTTGAAAGGTTGTTCCTTCCAGAGAAGGGCTGCTCCCGCAGGTGGATTTCACATTTCACGTTTCGATGGCTTTCATGTGTGTGTGCGCGCGCGTGTGTGTGAAACCCTTGGAATCACAGTGAATCTGTTGATTCGTTACCTTTGACTTTTTGACTTTTTAGCTTTTTAGCTTTAGATTAGCAGGGGAGCAGTGGGCATTCTTGAAGTCACCGCTCAAGGAAGACACTTCAAGTTTGCTGTGATATGCAATCTGGACGCAGATTGCATGTACCTGCGAGAAGAAGATGACCATTCAATTCATTTCTTTCTGGGCCCTTTTGTCACTAGAGTCACTAGAGCAAGTCGCTGGCCATTGCACCGGTTTGAGCTCTGCAGACAAGTGTTCGCCGCTCGCTGTCTTGTCGAGTTCGTGATTTTGGCATTTGACGACGTTCAGGTTCCGGACCAAACCGTTTTTACTTACCTTTAACTTGGCCTCTTAGGCTTTCATACCTAGGTGGGCGTGTGGCATGAGGCATTCAGTTCAGTACGCATTTCCTAAGTGTGTGAGCCCGAGGAGTGTCCCCTGTGGCCCCGTTTGGAATCACAGGGAATCGATTGATTTTAGATGATTTTAGACTTGCTTCTCAACTCTTTTAGCAGGGGAGTGCGGCGTGATTGTGGGACCGCGCTCAACGAAGCTACCACAATCATGGGATACCGAGTCTGATCAACTCGGCTTGTCTGCGCCTGAGTTGTGCATGCTTTAGCCATTCTCCAATCGTAGAGGTCCTCGGGCTGTTGCAGGATCAGGTCTGCAGATGTGCATTTGTCGTTGCTTTCGTTGTGGCTTTGACATTCCTTGATATTTGGAGCTTTGGAGCTGTGATCCTAGTTTGATGATCAGACCGCATAACATACTTCCCTCCTCCTGTCCTGGCTTCTTAGGTTTTTCACAGGCTGGCGTGTGGCACGCCCCAAGCCATTTCCGCACGCAATGTCTCGAGTTTGTGACCTATATGTAGATCTTCATTCGCACACCTTCAGACGAAGGTGCCTTTTTTTACCACTGGGGACAGAGTTGGGCATCTTCCTGTATTCGGTTCCGGCTGAGGATGCTTGCTGTGGGAAGGTGGCCAAAGTTGCTCCCAAGGCAGATGGATCACAGGACAGCTGCAAGGGACACCTTTTTTGTCATTAAAGGCTGACGATTTGTTTGGAGAGTCGAGTCCAACCTACTGTTTGCAGGTTGGAAAGGTCCCGAAGCCAAGATCATTCCCGATTCATATCTGGACTTGTATCCAAGCCATGCACCGCTATCGAATCAGGAAAGTGCACCTGGGACATTGGTTCCACGGAGTTTTTCATGTTTTTCCTGCCTGGTGCCGCACCAATAATCAGCGTAGGGCAAAGTGAGCAAAGTGCCTCTGAGCAAGGGCGCATTTCTTTGAAGTTTCGACATAAAAACATGTGCAATTTATATATGATTGTATAGTTATAGTTGGTGTTCCAGACTTGCATTAAATCTGCTTGGCAGGACAGCTGGCTGTTGGGCTATGGGTTCTCATACGTTTATCGACGATGTGTAGCACTGGCACAACCGTTTCCGCATTGCCACTTTGGCGAGGACCTTGTTTCTTGGTCTTGTGCCGTTTTTAGCAACTGACGCAAACTGTCATGTAGGAATGGACTTTTGACTGATCCAGATTTTGTTGCACCTTGCTTGACTTCCTTGCAGAGGCTAGGCTAAGGCTATGGTTTGCAATATCCCCCAAATTTGGTTATGCTATGGTTATTTGTAATCTAACAACTGCAAACCGTTCAAGAGGCAAAAAGAATAAGACCTGCAGCCACCTTTTTTGCAAAACAAGCCAAACCTTATGTTTTTGTTGAAGAATCTTGCCCTTTTGATTGCCGCTAGGACTTCCACTTCTTGTCTGGTTTGCGGGATCGTGGAAGAATCCGTACACTTCATGACAAGGCCTGGTGACAAGAGGTTGGCCTTCGAAGAACTGGGACCAGAGTGTCCATGTCTTGCCAAATGCATGGCAATGACCAATCATGGCGTGTCTTGCCGAAAGGTTTTATCATTGGCTGGGGATCGTCTTTGGTTTTTCCCAGTCGCTTCCCCCTGCGCAGAATGGGCACGTCCTCCATGTGCAGCAAGGGATGAACTTGTCAAACTCCCACGGACAGGAGTGGCACGGGCGGGATGGGTGGATGGTGGATAGTGGATGGTGGGCAGGATTGAAGATGAAGCGAAGACATTTGCACCCTGCAGGAGATCCCAATCAATGAAGTAGCCAAGATGCCTGTGGCAGAGGCCAGGAAGCACGTCCAGCATGCCTAGATCAAGTTCTTTCCACACGATGTTCAAAGAGTACCAAATCCTAATTGCTTCGTTGAGCAAGAGCTCACGCCTGTCGTTAAATGCAGGAACTCAGATTTCACGAGTCTACGAGCTTGATACTGTAACTCCTGCGCCTCTCATCATCTAGGACACATCAAAGCCTGCTGCGATCACAGCACATTTTTTTTGAATCTCAGAAGCCTTGTTTTCACACTTGGATGCTCTTTCTGTTTCTATTTAGCACGCAGGTGCCCGGCTTTCCTCCTTTGCTGCGCCTGGAGCTTGAGTCCTCATACATCAGCGTTGGCCGGACACCAAGTCACGAAAGGGGACTGACGATGCGCACAAGACCATGCAACTAGCTAACTAGTAGTTGGTCAACAAAGGTCGAGAGGCTGAGTCAAAACGATATTTGCGCATCTTTCATTTGATACACCAAATTGAAACCCTGCCCTTTGGAAACAAAGACCCTTCTGTGGATTCATTTTGTAGGTTTGAGGTGCTAATGGTCTCACATGATATGAGGCTGCTCTGACTGCTTGCATCTATTGATGAAGCTTAAGGTAGCTACAGCTTATGGTATTGAACGCAATTACCTTTGACCTGCACCACGACCGCTTGAAGCCTTCAGGATTGGTGGGCTGGCGGCCCCCACCTTTGTTGCACTTGTCATCCATGCGACAATCTTTGCAGAAGATGGGAGTGCAGCTGAAATCGGAAGGCTCAATTCGTGACGAGACATCGGTGGCTCAATTCGTCCGTGCAAACCATGACAACCTTGATTCGCGCAAACAGAATGTTCGCACAACTCTGGTTCGTTCGGAGTTGACAGGAGGCGCAGTCACATAAATCTGAGTCATTTTTCCCCCCCTGCCAGCAGTCAACATGTTAAAATCCGCTTGGTTGCAACCACATGCCTTTTGCAGCACTTTTTAAGCTGTCCACCAACCATCCTTCTGTCCTTTCAAGGAAAGCGAGGGTTGTGCTATGGAGAGTTCTTGCAGCGAGCGATGAGTCATTCACCAATGTTGAGGGTGAGAACTCTACCCGTTGTTGCCTCAGCGCTTTAGAAGTTATATAAAGTCACATAGGTGGAACACAGATGAACAACCCCTGTTTGTATATTGAGGATCACGACGCCTCACGCGCTTGAGGATCACGGTAGCCCCATCACCAATCTGGTTTATGCAACAAGGTCCTCATCCTTTGTTGTCTTTATATCCTCACGATACCCTGGCAAATAAAAATAGCAAGTCCATGCAAGTCCTGTCTGCTGGTTGTACGGAAAACTGACACTGCGAACTGCCCCAGAGGGATGGCACGTGAACCACCTTGCTTGACTTATCTAGTGAGCCCAAAGGTACTGGTAGCCCTCGTACTGTAGCCCTGATTGTAGCAGCCATTCAGCCACTCAAATCGATTGAGGAGAAAACAACACCTCAAATGAAAACACATTGCGTGCTTGTTTGCCAGGGAGCTCGGAGCTTGAAGAGGTGTGCCCCCGTCTTTTGGCGAGTTTGACTGCCGGACGGCTCGTGGTACACGGTTCATGATTTGTCTGAGCGACCTTGAGACATCATACAGGATCATACAGGCATTCCGGATCATGTATCGTTGGTACCATTATTCGTGCCAACGTCTGTTACGAAAACGACATGGTTTTAAACATGCGACCTTCCGAATGTTCTTGAGCATGACCGGCATGCGCACAGGGCAGTGTGCTGGTCTCTTACTGTGTTCGACGGGGCCCACAGGTCTTCGTGGAACCAGGCGGGTCATTCTGTTCTGGCAAATCTTGGGTTTCTCCGTTGAACAGCATGGGTCGAATTAAACTTCAAATAAACTATATTTTCGTCACCATGGGTCAGTTGCTAAAGCCTTTTTCGTTCTGATTCGTTCTCTCATCCTACCGACTCCATGGCAGAATCTGACGACCCCTGCCTCCAGGCAAGACAGGCTTCAAGTTTTTGCAATACATTATGCAAACAACGATGCCAATGGTGAGGAACATGCAAGTTCACAATCTCAACACTCGCAACAATCCTTAAATGGATTTTCATGGGGAAGCACAGGAAGGCGAGACAAATCAATTCAAGTATCAGGCCTAATAAGTAAATAAACACATAACTCTATGAATATTGATAAATCACTCTCCCTCTCTCAGATACCTCCGACTCTCCAGACCGAGCAACACCAGGCCGCCTGTACGCCGCAGAGGAGCGCTTTACGACGGGAACCCCCGATGGAGCGTGGCAACGCTCCCGGCTCCCGGCGGATGTGGCGAAGCGTTGCTGCGCCGAAGTGGTGGCGCTCAGGTGGGCCAGTGGCATTTCTTTAAGACCGGAATTCAAATTTGAGGTCTCTTTGTTTAAGGGTAGGGTCGGTAGGGTGGAGTTGACCTGCAGCTTGACCTGCAGATTGAGCATTTTTTTGGTCTTTAGTACTGGGGAGTTGAGTGCAAAGGTGAGCATAGGATGTGTACAGAGCTGGATTGAATATTGGAT